AAGTTCGGAGACTTCTGGAGAAACTGCGACTATTACCTTTAGCCTCCAGACAAAATTCGTTTTTGTCTATGTCGCTGGGAGAACCATCGAGATTGATTTCTATATGAGGATTCAATATAGGCGATTAAAATTTATTTTTATCTTGACAATGTTCTTATGGGGTTATTATTTCATAAACAATACGATCCAAGGAAGGTATTTCCATCAGTAGCTCTTTCTTGGGTGTTGATAGAAAATCTATCTTCTTTTTTCGCCTGGCATTTTTTTTTTTGGCCTATACGGCTTTGAGGCTCTGCATGACAATGTACTATAAATTTTTAATCCAGATTTGAGATGTTAAGTGTACTGTTGAAAATAATCGAGAAATATTTGCTTTTTATACTTTCTGTATGATTTTCTTTTGTTTTTTAAATTCCTTTTTATTTTGTTGAGACATGTACTTATTCAGTCTTTCGGGAATGGGTCGTACATGGATTGTAATTTCACTCCAGGATATTTCTTTGATTTTGTGCTGATAATTCTTCTTCAGCTCACGGAGTGCCAGATTCTACTATAAGAGAAAACGCGTGATGTCCAAGTTTCTTTACAGATAATCTCTCCACATTTTCCCTCTTGCTTATTTAAATCTTGAGCCTTGCTGTCATTATTGTTGCCTAGTTAAACTTCAAGTTTGTTGCTAGTCGACCAAAGATTCTTGTTTTATCATAAAAGGGAGTTAACTGGTTTATTTGCAAAGGTTATCTTTCACACAGCCTTGTTGTCATTATGTTGTCATTATTGTTGCCTAGTCAAACTTCAAGTTCACTCTTTGCAAGTGATGTGTGGCTGAGAGGCTAAAACCACTTGGTTACGGCTTGGCCACCTTACAAGGGGGCTTGAATTCGAATCCCGACTCTAGCAGGGTTGTGTTTGCTGAGCGGTTGGAAAACCTTCTCACAGATACCCCCCCAACTGGTCCACAAAAGAGATTGGACCATTACTTTTTAGTAATTTAAAAATACAACACCATTATAAACTTATTCTTCACTGGTGCATTAAACAATGAAGCAACATCGTGTAAGGCTTTTAAAAAAAGTGTAAAAGTGTGTTGCTTTCAGAGATTTAAACAAATCTGATAAAATTTTACTCAAGCTGGTCTACAGCTTACATTTAGTTTAATTTAAGAAAGAATATATACAAATAAACAAATAGATATGTTAGTTTTTATCCATGTAATTACAATGTGCCCCCACCACTTGATGCCCGTGCGGCCCGCACCACCCATACATCGCTAGCTACGCCACTTCTTTTATTACAAAGCTTCTATCAACTCACTCTGTCTGTCTGGTGAAAAGTTTGAACATGTTTTTTCTATCATTTTCCAATCTCGGATCAAGTTAAAACTTTGCACATTTATTTATTCATTGAGCCTGACAAGGCATGAATCACTCAAACTTTTTAACCAATTAGTTAATCAATTGATTGTGATTAATTATTTTATTTGATATCGAAATAAGGGGAACAAATGTTACTTAATGAGAGACGTGGATTTAACCCCCTTATTACGTTTTGACATGTTTTTCCCCCCACTCCCCATTCTCGGATAAAGTTGAAATTTTGAATAATTATATCATAGTTGATGACAATACACCAAAAAATAAAAAAAACAACTACCAATTAGTTAATCATTTAGTACTGATTAATTTTGTTTTATTTAGCATAAGGGAGCTAAACCATGAAATTTTCAGATAAATGGCAGTAATTAGCGCTCTTTCCCTTAGATAAGCTCTGTTATTAAAAAGTATTCTTTTTATTTCTATTGCTTGTTTGAGAATATTAGCTTGAGTATTGTTTCAAAAATGAAAACTATTATGTCCTAGACCTAAACCCATTGCTGGATATCTGTGGGAAATCTGATTCATCATGCTGACAGTTGAAGGGCTTAACACATGACCAGGCATGGCTAGATTTACTTATATGCAACACAGGCTATTGCTTAGGACCCAAGAAATATTTAGTACTGACTTATGGATTTATATTACTGGACTTATTAAGGGCCCCCAAATCCCTCAAAGCTTAGGGTTTTTTCAAGTCCATATACGGCACTGCCAACTGGCAACCATTCTGAAGCAGCTTATGATAAGCCTACATTTTTTTTAAATTTTCTTAGATGATTTACAGTTTAGCATAAATATGGGTTTAGCTGCATTTTTTATATAGTTCGTCCATCGTGGTTCGATGATGACCACTTTGTCATCCAGGGGGCTGAGGGCTTTGCCCTGGGGTTTTGTGCCTCCTTATGTGACTGGTGAGACCTATGTGAGCCCGGAATGTTCGGCTGCACACGGCGGGTTATTCCTGCTGGGGCTAGTGTTATTGGCATTGCTTTTCTTCTGCCAGCGTTGTTCTCTTTTCCTCAGCAGCCTGTGCGCCAGTTTTCACAGCACGACGCCAGTTGCTCTGTCATTGGCCTCTGTCTCCCAGGTGGCTGGGTCTATGCTGAACGCCTTCAGAGAAGCTTTGAGGGTTTCCCTGAAGCGTTTTCTTTGACCGCATTTCGAGCGCTTTCCTTCGCTTAGTTGGCCATACAAGAGTCGTTTAGGGATGCGGCGGTCTTCCATTTTGCAGACTTGTCCTGCCCATCGCAGCTGGGACTGCATCAGGATTGTGTGGATGCTTTGCAGACCCGCTCTTCGAAGGACTTCAGTATCTGGTATTTTGTCCTTCCATTTGACATTCAGTATTTTTCTTAGACATTTCATATGGAAGTGGTTCAGTTTCTTTGCATGTTTTCTGTATACTGTCCACCTTTCTGAGGCATAGAGCAATGTAGGAAGGATGACAGCTCGATAGACCCCTAGCTTTGTATTTGTGGTGATATCTCGTCTGTTCCAGACATTTTTAGACAGTCTGCCTTAGGATGCACTGGCCTTGGCGATACGCAGGTCGATTTCATTATCGATCTTTCCGTTTCTGGAGAGTGTGCTGCCAAGATATGTGAATCTGTCCACTGCGTTTATATCATTTCCATTTATCTTAATGCTTGGATCCTAGTAGGCTTTCCCTGGAGCAAACAAATATAAGACTTCAGTCTTTTTTGTGTTAATGGTAAGGCCAAAGTCTGAGCAAGCTCTTGAGAAGTCACTGAGATGCTCTCCAGATCATTTTCAGAGCAGGCATTTAAGGCACAGTCGTCAGCAAATACAAGTCCCTGATTACTGCTGAATTTATTTTTGATTTTGCTTTGTGCCGCCTCGGGTTAAATAGGCCACCATCAAATATGTATGTTATATTTATCCTGTTGTTATCCCTATTTGGGAATGCATCTAGGACACAGCCTTGTTTTACCCAGTTTGATACTTCGAAGGGTTCTGAAGCTGCATTTTTAAACACATCTAAATGACCATTGGGCTTAAACAAAATGTAATAATATAATCTCTACACAGTACAACTAAAAAAAATAGATTAATTTAGGCCTACTTACAGATGCGTAGCTGGGGGGGGGGAGAATTGGAAAATCCCCCCAGGCCCCAACTTAAGTGGGGGCCCAAATGGGTATTTTTTTACATTAAATATTATGCAATACGCTGGGGCCCCCAAAGAGGTCAAGCCCTCCGGGCCCCCCAAATGATGGCCAATTCCTAGCTACGCCACTGCCTACTTATTGTATATATCATTTCAATTATTAGCTGACATTTACAATATTATCAATAGTTTTCTCCTTGTTTATTACCAACTACGTATCCATAAAAAAAAAACAAAAAAAACTCGTCAAGTTAACACACCATGTCTCTTATGTTGGAGAGGGGGGGGGTACAAACAAATTGAAGTGGTGTTTATGTCTTATTCAATATATCTTATTTCATGTCCTCTATCCACAGATTGGAAAGTGGGTGTCCACTCCTCCCATGACCAGGTCCATCAACAATCGTGTACTTAGAGTGGGCGTTTCAATGCCTCCATGGCAGACCAGGATGTTTTTGGACATTCACCTTGACCCTTCCATGTCACTGACAGTGGCCAGAGACTTCATCTCTCAGCTTCATGCCTTCGCCCCACACATGCACTAAGTTTCTGGTAGAAAAGATTTGTGGGTTCAGTGCCATAATAAGACTCCATGATATTGCACCTTATTGTATCTTGATTTGTGTATATATTTCTGCATTGTTATGTTTTGTTTCTGTGGACTATTGGGCCTATCCAGTGATACTGTTTTTTTATTTACTGTGCAATACACCATCAGTATTAAATCTATATACTTGATCTCTGTAACTTTTTTTAATGTATGGTTCCTTCTTATTACCATTTTTTAGTATTGCAGAATGTATAAAACATAAGAATATACACAACTGAAAAGCTCTAGTTTTATATTTTTCTCAGGGCACTGGTCAACACTACAAGCCAAATTAAGTGCAAATCTTTCTGTTCTGGATTCAGCTATCATCACATAAAAGTATTCACTTAATTAGTTAATTATATTTTTAAATTTATGGCATTAATCAGCTAAAAAAAAAAATAATAACCTGACTTAAATTTGATAAAAAAACACAATTTAAAAATTAATTCACTTTTTTTTTAAAAAAAGAGAAGCTTGTATAAGCGAAACAACTGCACATTAAAAACCATATATCTCAATACTGTAAGATTTATTTCTCTTTTTCTGGATCAAACAAAATTAATTACTGTACCACTGTTTAACCCTTTTGTTAGGGACAAGAAACAAGTGTTCATATAATGTAAGCAAGATGAAACACAAGGTTTTGTTCTTGCCATGCAATTTTATAAATTATCATTATATTCATTGCATTAATCAAAACATACTTCTGCACTTAACTATATATTTCAATCAAGTTGCTGGTAGTATACATTGTGTCTCTGGATATTGAAGCAACTTATGGGGAACATTACTGTAAAATATTAAGCCTGTCCTCTTGCCTTTTTTATTTTCTATTAGTTAATTGTCAATATTTTTCTTTCACCTACAAGTTTACTCTATTGTTGAATTCCAACTAAGTACAGATCACTGTAAAGCTTCACTTATTATGACCAAATTCTATAGTTAAATAGTTTATTTTAAGAATGGTCTATAATTTTCTGAATTATTATATTAATATAGTTTCAATACATGGAGTACCTGATTATCTGTGTGAGACAGAGTTGAGAGCTTGAGAGGGAGAGAATGAACATTAAAGAGTAAAGGAGAGACAGAAATTGTGATTGAGGAAAGGAGAGCAATAGGCAAAGGAATGGGAGAGAGAAAGGGAGGCAGTGAAAGAGAAGGAGAGAGAGGGAGACAAATAGAGTGAGAGAGCAATGAATAAAAGGTACAGAGGTGGGGACAAAGTGTTGTATATAAATAATATATTCACATATTGCTTGAATGTAGACTATCATATATTTTCTAGAGGCTGACAGAACTAGTGTTTATTAATTTGTACCAATACTCACGAAATATCTTATTCTCTTTTAATAAAATGGATTAATAAAAGAAAAATGTTTTTTGTAAAATGTTAGACATTTTGGATGTTCCTTCTGAGGTGAAGATAATCTAATGGCAGAGGCAGGATATGAACCTGGGACCATCGAGACAACTGAACAACAGTCCAGTGCACATACAACTCAACCATTCTTGACTTGGAATTGTGCTACTTGAATGCATTCTTAAGTATATTAATAATATTAGATAACAGTGGCAGAACAACAAGGACATATTTAGTAGTCTTCTCAGCAAACCAGTGATGTGATATTACCACAAGCTAAAAAAAAAATATAAAAAAGTAAACATATATGTGTACCTAAGTGCCATTTAATTCATTTCAGAAGACCCTATTACCACAGCAATGTAGCATAACCAACACTCTGTATGGCAATGCGAAACAGCTGAAGAATATTGTATAGTATTACCCTAAGCACAGATGAAGTACATGTACTTATTAAAAAAACAACATATTTTCGGTGTTATTCCACATAACTGATTTATTTAGCCTGTATAGAAAAAAACTGTATGAATAACTCTAAAAAATTACTTTATTAAAAAAAAAAAATAGACCTGACCATATATTTCATTAGACTTAAATATTGCGTAGGTATTCATAATAAATTCATAATTCCAAAATAAGGAATGAATATTATAAGATAAGATAATTTGTATTGGTCCAATCAAATGGAAATTCAGTTTGACTACCATTGAACACCTCAGTGTAAATACTGTACAATAACAATATAGATGCAAACAATATGAAAGGAATAATAGAAAAAATGCTAATTATGTCTTGACATGAATATTCAGTAAAATAGCATACAAATAGAAATATACAAAATAAAACTATTGCAATGTTTTCCCTCATTTATCATACTTAAATTTAACAAAAAAATATTGAACTTTGATGAAATTAAATGTTGTATTAAAAATTAAAACCCATATTATGGTTCAAAATACTACGGCACAAGTGAAAACAGCCAGATATGCATATGCCACCTAAAAGCACCTATTGAAGGAAGTGCTAAGTATATTAGCCATGGTTTCAGTGTATTTCAAGTCTGCATGTTGTACCCTTACTGCACATTAAAAGTTTCCATTTCACATTCTCATTTTTTGTATTTAACTTATATAACCAGCTCTACTACAATGTCATCATGCAGTATAGAGCATTTTTCAATTTTAAAATTTGATAGGTTATCAATAGATACAGTTATGGAAATTGGAACTATTCCAATGCCAAATATTTATCAAAGTAAACACATTGATTCCCTGTTGTTTTCAAGCCCCTGACTAGGAAATAATTTAAAAAGCTTACATTTCTGTTCTTAGTGATTGCTTCCAGATAAAACAATAATTATGCAATTCAATGAAAAATGAAGTACAGACCTAGGCATTTCATTATGAAAACTACAATTTGAATTACTAGAAACACTGTCCTTTGTTAAATCAATAGTGGACAATATCTTTTTTTTTGTTAGGAGTTGAAGGGAAGGGATTTAACTCTTGTAAAAAAAAAAATTACTGTATGCATGTCCTTACTGCTATGCCTAATATATTTTGAAAAGAACACAGTAAGATGTCTATTTGTGACAGCATTCAATACTTGAAGAATAATCATTTCATATTCTAAGGAAACACATCTACATAAGGGAGACTACTCTTAATACACACAATTTTACTCACTGGTTATGGTTAGTAACATTCTTTTATTCTACAATTCCTCTTATCAGCTTACAAACTTTGCATGGGTGGATGGACACGAATTTCAAAAATGGCTCTAACAATATTCCTAGACATTTGACAGTTTATCAATTGCTTTGTGCACTATGCAATACAGCAGGGTTTCTGTCCAGGGATTTAGCAAGAGAGGATTTGAGCCTTTCAAGCCCTCACTCAAATGATGTTTGATGATGATGATGATCAAGTAAAAGATTGGTTTGGGAACAAATTTAGTAGCTAACTGGCTAACTAACAAGGTAAACTCTGATTTGACTGTTGTAATTTTTCAAAATATAACTATCTCACAATTAAATTTGTTCTTTTTTGACAAGCCTTCAGTTGGAATTCATGCATTTATTTCAAATGTTTCTTAGTATTCAGTAAAGAGTTGAATAAATAGAGCTAGAATTAATTTGTGACAGACATATGCTTATATAATCCTTATACAATTTATCGAAACACAATATCAATGCTGTATCTCTACTAGATTCTAAATTAAGCTAAGACAATGCTGTCTTTAAATGTTTCTAAGTTTGAATCTATATCAGCAAACTAGAATATTCTAAACTCTTGGTAGATTTATACATGGGCATACTCAGGATTAATTCAGGGCTGGGGGATTGGGGTGCGATGAAAATTTTTCCTTTTTTAATCTATCATTCATTAGATATTGAGAACATTCTTATTATCATTCTTACAAAAAAGTCATCAACTTCATGACAAATGTATTGATTAAAAACACACTTCTTTTGGTTACTTGCAGGTCTTTGTCTTAAAATTAGTTTCACATAATTACAAATGTTAAAATGTAATCAAATATTCAGGGTAAACTTGAGAATCATGAAAAATAGCATAAATTCCTCTGCTTTTATCACCACCAGAATCATAAGGTCTGTTAGTTCCTGGTTTTTTAGGGAGGTATTTTGTTGAGGAATTTGTCTCAATAAATTCTCCAGTCAAAACTCGAGCTCTGTACATGTGTCTATTACCGTCCAAATCAGGCTTGGTAAACTTGCATGAATAACTTGACTTGTCTGCAAAATAGACTCCCGACCCATATACTGTTCCTAAATAAGAAAATATTTCTGAACAGTTTTTATTAAATATAGACAAATTATATTTAAAACAAAGAAAAGAAAAAAAAAAAAGCAATTACCAAATGAACAAATATTTTGAAATTCATTTTCCAATTGAAAGCAATGATGACCTGATTTTTTTGTAGTTCTTTAAATACATATTTCTAGCAGCAAGGGCCTTTTTAAGGGAATTATCATAATGTGCTTTAAAATGCTTTAAACAAAGTATTTTTTTCTTTTAGTATTTACTTCTTCTTTCTCCCTGCTTACCTTCCCCCCCCCCCCCCCCCCTTTAAAGTACAGTCTATTATTGTCCCTTGAACTTAGCCAATCATATACATGAGTTGACCCTTGGTAGTCTGACCATTACGGGATCAGGGAGGTGGTGGATTATTGAAAAGGTAGGATTACCAACAATTAAGCTGTAGATGTCAGGAAAATTATATTTATGATGTACAGTAAAAAGATATTCTCTTAGACTTTCAATGGTATAAATTAAACAATAGAAAAAAAATTGATCTAAACAAAGGAAAAAAAACTTCAACTTGGGGATATTTGCTCGATTTAAGTGTTTTTCCTTTTAGTGTGGTCTTCAATGTATTTCTCAAAATGTTCTACTTTCTCCGTATTTTTCATAATGTCATAAATATTAGATGGTCGCTTGATGTCACAAATTGAAAAAATGGCACGGTTTTCTATTTTTCAAGAAAAAAAATCTTTTATACTTTGTTCACGATATCTTACAAGACGTAACAAAAACTTCAACCCTAAGAAATACATCAGGTAAACTGTCTGATAGTAATCACAGAAAGTCAATCACAAATGTTTCACCATCTAACGCAGCAAGAAGCACATTAGAAGAGGCATGCCAAAACACATGTGCAGAGTCAGTGTCAGGGCCATGTCTACTACTAATTATGTCAAATTGAAAAGTGTCAGACTATCAAGGATCAACTAAAAGAACATTTTACTACTATTAATTTGTTAACTGAAAATTTTATATAGGTAAAATTAAGCAATTATGATATATAAATCTACCATTGACTCCACAATAGTTTCTATTAAATCCATTTTCATTTATTGGAGGAATACAATCTGACATTGTCCCATGAAAAAGTTTTTGTTCATTTTGATGACCTAGTGGATTGTACTGATCCAGTTCCTTTTTTTTCACACAATATTGTAGATATAAGGATTTATTTTGAATGCGTTCAAGCTGGTGAAAAAAAGAAATTGTTAATTGAATTATTACTTCCATATTAAATTTGACTTAAATTATATTTATCAAAAAGCTAACAAAGTGAAGAAAACAAACAGAATTTTTAAAAACTTTTCATTGTATAAAAACACTTGCCAATGAATTATTTTATGAGTAAATGCAACTCTGACAAAGAAAACAGCCCAGCGACTATTTTTTCTATTTAAACTCAATAGCTTTAAACTAAATAAGATGATCCTAGATAATTTTTCTGGCGCGACTATACAAAATCTGCTAACATACAGAATAACTTGTTGGCAAGGCAGCGCTTCATCTAAACTGTTGCGCCGCCTAGAAAACATCAAATTAATATGGAAATAATAATTAAATTAAAATGGCATAAAAAATCACACACACATTACCATATTTAAAGGAAATTTTTGAACAGAAATGTCTAAGAAAAATCTGAAAAATTTTAAATCAACAGCCACCCGCTCCATCATAATTACGCCAAGTCATTGCAAAGTGGGCGACTACTGTCAATCAAGACAACAACAGAGCAGTACAAAATCCCGTTCATACCTTACTTGGTCAGACTTTATCAACACCACCCTTTCATTAAGAAACATGAAAAGGAACAAGATGTCTGTGTGTAGTCGCAGAATGAACTCTTTATGTTGTGTTGTGTTTTTATATGAGAAAAGAGTCCTTGTAGAAAAATTTCCATAAGGATCAATAAAACAGTCTTAGTCTTAGAAAATCAAAATGAGAGTAAATGAAGAACTACTGTTGGATGCCAGGGAAATATTTGACAAATGATGAGATGGAGTGGCTGTTGCTCAACTCTAGTTCTCAAAGCTATTTAATCTAATTTCAAACACAATATTTTGTTTTTAAAATTCTTTAATGGTAAGCCTAATTGGTTACTAATAGTTCAATAAAAGAAAACTACTGAAGCTATCAAATATGTTTGAATTGTAGGCTAAACTAACCTTTTTTATAGGAAAATTTGGCAATGTC